TCCAATCTTATTCTGCATTTTTAGCAATATTTTTTACAACTTCTTAGAAAGGATGGTGTTAAAGGTTTTCTCCTTCTCACCGTAACAGTGCTAATCCACTGTTCAAATCATGCAGGTATTGCTGCAGCTTCATCTACCTGCTGCTTCAATAGCTATGGTGCCTTAATGAAAAACTCTTGTTCAACTTTAAAGCTACCACCTGAGTATCAACTAACATCAACAAAATACTTCTGACTTGTCATGGAATAATAAATGAGTCATTCAAACAAAAAATTATGTGCAGCCAAATTATTTGAAGCAACTTGAAGAGAGGTCTTTGCTGTTGGTTGTTGGACTAAAAATCAGACTATCATGGTTATTTTCAAAGAAAGGCTGAAGGACTTCTTAAAGGCAGGCATATGCCACAAGATGTAGTCAAGTATCTACTGGGATAAAAGTACTAAAGATGCTCAAATCCCTTTAAAAATCTAAGGGAGTTAGGGAACTCTATTTTTAAAATGACCCAGAAGCTTCAGTGTGATTTATCTTTCTCTGTTACTCTAAATTCCTTTGATAGCCAGGTCTTGTGCTTTTTTCCTTCCTTAAAAATCCCACCAGATAAGAATATGACTTAGGAGATGAACGCCTCCTTCCAAATAGGATTTTGGCCCAGGTTCTTAAACCTGTGCCAGTGCCAAAGTCTCACAAAACTGAAAAGATTTTACATCTGGGAGGGAGTCCCATAGCTATAAGAGAAGGTAAATTGGCAAGGGTTTGAAAACAAATTGCTAATTCTTCACATGCCTTTTTTTCCAGCTGCCTACTTCTCTGTCTTTTGAAAGCCAACCTCCACGTCCTGTTTCCCAGGAGGTCTGTTTGGTTTCTCCTTTCTCCCCACTACCCCAACTCTTTCAAACTCTTTCATTGCAAAACGCCTCCCTTCCCTCTCCATGTTGCTCAACGCTTTCCAGGGAAGTCTGACTCTCTCATCTCGCCCTCCATCCTCCCTTCCCCACTGTCCCAGCCCGAATCTCGTGCTGAGCCAGCTACACTGCTCTTCAGTGATAAATCATATCATGACCCCTTCCCCCCTTTGACATGTCAATTCTTCTTTTTTTTTCAAAGACTTACATAAACCACCTTTAAACCATAGAATACAGCACGGTCTTTGTAACATAAATTTCAAATGCTCTTCAGAAAATCCTGAGTGAAGCTCCCAGTAAACATCAGAAAGCACAAGAGACCCACCCAGTTCCCTGCTTCTGGGTAACTTTTCTACACTCTGGGTAGGTAAAAAGGGAGCAGAGAAGAGCTGTCAGTTCAGTGACACTGGTGCACTCCACATTCCTTGCACACAAAAAAAGGGTTTGTATTAAACTCCCCTGAATTGCAATACTATGTACAAAGAGAGTAAAATATAGAGCATTTTAAGGCCATCTCTAGCCAGATTGAAGTAAATTAATTAATGAGTAATGTCTTAATGGTGTTAGAAGAGTCAATGAGAAATTATTACCATGAATTATTATAGAGTTAATTAACATCTGCATGTATGTGTACATAGACATGGATGTGCACAAAAATTATTTCTACAAAGACTGTATCAAGTAACTTGAGAAACCTGTACAAATTCTGAGTATGTTCTTGATCAGTGCATCTGAAAAGCCTGATTCCCAGGGATTTGTCACATCATCAGTGTCACATCCTGACTATAGCAAGGGAGGGACAGGAACCTCTCTCACAAAAGAAATAGAAAACACTGTTGATTTTTATTTTCAGTCTAAGTCTCCAGGAAAAAAAAAAAAAAGTGTATAGCCTGCTTTCCCATTTTTCATTCAGATTTAATAAAAATCCTTAGAATTTCTACTGGAGCGATTTCTTTCTTGTTGTGTCTCCTACATCAGTGGGGCTTTTTTCACTGGTTTTCATTTGGAAAACAGGTTTGCAAAAAGTGCTAAGTTTGAACATGAAGAGATTTATTTGTTAATTAGACCTATAAAACCTCTGTGGGGACCCAAGGCGAGGTGGGCGGCCTCATCGTCTAGCAGCTCTCGCTGGCAAAGTGAGCTCCGCACCTGACCCCCCCCCCCCCCCCCCCCCCCCCCCCTGCCATGAACTGCGCTGCCAAATGGATGCGCTTGTAAGGGCATCCCGCATGCTCGGCCTGTCTGTGTGGGGACATTCACTGAGCAGAACAGCTACGGCGGGTCAGGGGCATAGCTGCGGAGAGCTTTAGTGAAGATTGACTGGATCAATATCCCTATCATTGCCTATGTCAAGTAATAAACTCCATCATTACTTGTATCGGTGTGCCCCATGGCATGTTAATTTGCACCTGGCTACTTGTAATATGCAAGACTTAGTGTGTTTTTGCAGTTCCTTTTGTGTAGATACATTGTGAGGACAAGCCTTAGAAATAGAAACAAAAAATACGTCAATACACACAATTATATATATATATATATAATTGAACTCCCTCCTCTTCCGTTGCATAAGACCAGCAGGGGTGAGAAGAAAACAATGCAATTTCACTTTTTGTAACTGCAGTGACTGGAAACAAGGACATACAAAGAAGAGATCTCTGGCACAGAGAGAGGGCGTGTTGGCAAAAAATAAATCCCGAGAGGAAGCTCTCACTCCAGGGGCCTGCGGATTCCCGGGGGGCAGGAGAAGGCTGTGTTAGGCGCTCTGCTCCAGCTGACTCTTTCAAGACACTTTAGCAACAGTTCTTCTTAACTAACCTGCGAGCAAGGGGAACACCCCAGAGAGGTCATGCATTTAGAAAATGTGACAAAACTTGTTGGATGCTTTGGAAGAAAAGGGCATTTTTACAAATGGGAGTCGTTCTGGGCAGGTCAGGATTCTCCTGCTGCTGTTCCTGTTTCATCCTAAACTGCTTGTGTTGCTTCTGTGATGATAGTGCTGTCTTTCTCCTAGGTATTTCTCTTATAGCAATAATTCCATCTTCTTTCACATTTACCGCTAGCACTACCACAAACCAGCATCCTGTTTGCTTTCTTTATTGCAGCTGCATATGGGGCAGAAGGCTTTAGGGACTTTCATGCAATAATTCCCAAATCTTTTTCCCGTAAGTATACTGCAAACGCAGCTCACTACAGAGCATTTCCATCTAGTTCCTACTTTAATGATTTTTGTTTGTGTCATTTCGCTTCTCAGTAATGTACGTTTGTCTGCATATGCTACTCAAGGGCTTAAGTAGTCTGATCTTTTGCTTCATCCACATGTATTTTGTTTTAAATAAAACAAAAATTTTTTTAACATAAAGCCTACTTCAAAAGCCACCTTCTCCAAATCCCTGGCAGGCAAGGAGCCTGTAATTGTTTTGTATAAATATATTTACATTCAAATTATTATTCTTATATCTAGGAGAATAAAAATTGGTTCTGTGAATTATGGGAAATCTGTCACATGCTTTTTAGGGCATACATTTTAAAAGAAAACCTGTTATTTATGATGTGCTTTCATTCTGTCTTGCATATGGTTTCTATTAAAAATGCAATATTTGAAAAATCATTAAAATGCCTAAATTGGTACACTTTCTAAAAGGTGTCCAGTCCAACAGTGTTCAGAAATGTGAACACCTTTACACTCAATGTGCTTCCCTGTAGGATTTTGAGTCAGATACTCTTGTCAGTCACACCCATGCAATCCTCCTGGGACACCTGACAGCTTGCAGGGTATGGCAGAGAAGAGTTTGTCAAACCTTTCAATTTCAAATTAATGTCAAGGTCTTTCCATCTCCTGAGGTGATTATTGCCCATAGCTTAATTATGTCATTGCTACACCACCACTTATGAATAAGGCTACCATGAAACTACTGTTCTACAAAAGGAAAAGGCCTGGTCTCTGTTGGGTGAAACAGACCCCTTGTGTACTCAGCAGCTAAAGTAAATGCTCCCTGTTTTGAGGTGGGGTGAAGGAAGAGGTTTTTCACTGAAAGGAAAGGAAGATTTGGGGCAACGAAACAGTCTTTTTCAGCCTAATGAAGAACCATTTTTTTACCAAAATCGTCAGATTAGAAAGGAGGGAAATAACTGCAAAGATTATTTATTCTACACAAAACATCATACAGTCCTGTGGAGAGAAGAGGAATGAATGCTGGCATTAACTGATCTGAATCTTGTCCCTTTTCCATAACGTTTAGGTTTGCTGTGCTTACATCAGATCAAATTTACCAACCTACGTGTTATCACATGTAGTGAGGCTATGCCAGATTTATAGCTGAATTATTCTAGCTGCAAGTGATTGTCACCTATGGGATTATAACACAAAAGACTTACCCAATAAAGTCAAAACAGTTCTCTCACCCACCTTTGCTGATTTGACTGTTTGTTAAGAGTAGCTCATGGCTGTAGAGGTCCTCTCCTCTTACTTAGCAATCCTAATCCCCCTGTCCTAAAAACACAATGATCACTCCTATAATTCCCTGTAATGCTAGTTCTTGCTCTTAAATTCTTCCTTCCATCCTTCCCCACCCTGATTTCTGATAACAGTGTTTGTACTCTGCTTTCCCATTGTCCTTGCTTACCCTATAGAACTGCAAATCAAATATTTGGATTCAGTACAGCCCTTGGGATCTTCCTGCCAAGCGGAGAATGTTGCAGTTTCAGTTTGTTTTCATCCATTGTCTTTGATGTGTTACTTACTTTCACAATTGTTTTGGACAAATCCATGTGAAGTGGATTCATTTTAAGCCTGAATTGTCAAAATGAATGTTACAAACGCAAAAATCTCAAAGTGACCTAGGAACAGACTTGTAACATTGTGTGAGTTCCCAGCTCCCTGGGTGCCTTGTATTTGTCTTACTGATATTTACTGTTCATCACTCCACATGTTACAAATTCATCGCATTGCCCATAAAAATGTAGTCATGTTTGTAGCTTTTGTTATTTAGGTATATTGTACCTGCTGTTTAGAAGTTATCTCCTTTGATGTGATTGTTTCTTTGCCACCATATTTATTCTGTAACAAAACTGAGTGGCATCCTGTATTGTTTTTTTCAGCCGGTAATATTAAAATAGAGACTCAGAGTGATGAAGAGAATGGGCGTGCCTGTGAAATGAATGGGGAAGAATGTGCGGAGGATTTACGAATGCTTGATACCTCGGGAGAGAAAATGAATGGCTCACACAATGGCCCAGGCAGCAAGGCTATGTCAGGAGTTGGAGGCATTCGACTTCCTAACGGAAAGCTAAAATGTGATATCTGTGGGATAATTTGCATCGGTCCCAATGTGCTCATGGTTCACAAACGAAGCCACACTGGTAAGGCCTGCCACAGTTTTTCCTTTAGTTGACAAGAATTGGCCACATATTAGGAACTAAGACTTATTTTCTGTATCATGCACACGTTCCTTCTTGTAAGATAATGCAGCATCGGTGGGCATTTGGAACTCGGTTATTTTGTTACGCCATTTTGGACAGCACAGGAATTGAGATTTCTTCTTGATGGAAGTCCATCTATTGGGCTAGAAATCGTGCAGTTTCTTTGGTTTGAAGCTACATGAAAAAATCAAATCTTTAAAAAAAAAGAAAAGAAGTCTTGTTTAATTTCTAAGAATTGCTGAAGAAAAACCCATTTGTGGCTAACTCTGAAATCGACCCAGTTCTAATGTTTCCAACAATGCAACAAAGCTTATTATGGATCAGTGGTTATGAAAGTGATTGGCAAAAAAATGTTAAGGGAACTGTACTGGCAGTCTTAGTAAAAAAAGAGTTAATTTTATGTAAAATGTTTCATGGAGTAAAAACTCATATTGTCACTGGTCAAATCTGGACTAAAGGGTTTCCACTGGGGCACAAGAAACATGTAAAGATGTTGTGCTCCATAGGGATGGCTTTTCATTATACAGTGCTGTGAATCTTCTCGCCTCAATTTTTTAATTCTAAATAGTCTCAAAGAGTGCAAAAGATGAAGAGGCTGAAACAAATGAAGAAGTAAAGACCAGGGTGAGTCTCATCTTACCTGACATAAGCTATCTAAAAATTAGGCTTCCAATCTAAACTCTAAGGTCATCCACAATCAAAGGATAAGAACTGAACTGTACTGTTGCGATCTGTTAGTGTAACGTGGGCTAGCCACGCTCAGGAGCAGTGCTGCTGATAGTTAGCAATGCTGTTACACTGCCTATTTCTTCAATTCAATATGACAAATCCCTCTGTCAGGGAAGAGAAGATAATCATCTTTATTGGAAAAGCCGCAACTAGTTCTCAGAAGAGAGGTTGCAGCCTGCTTCCTAGATATAATAAAGTGCTTGTTGATCAATTGTTTCCTTTTTTTTTTTTTTAATTGAATGTCAATGTGATCCTTTAAACGTTGATAAAATGTGTATGGAAAATGACTCGGACACGAGGCCTTTTCAACAGACCCATGGGCTTGAAGAGGATGCTACAGTAGTTGTAATAAAATGTTGCAACTTAAAACATATTCGGGGTAAAAGTCTTTGTGCTTCTTGAAGGAGGCTGCTGTTTTATTAAAAGTATGCTGTTCCTGCTTCGGAGGATCTGTTTGGGGTCCCTCAGGGTCAGAGGCAGCGTTTGCACCAGGGCTGCATGGCCTGGGTGGGGGACACGCCTGATTTTAGGGAGGCGCTGGGCAGAGCCGCCTTTGTTTCTAAGGGCGCTGGTTGGTACCG